TTCTTTGGTTCGGAATTTAGCTTAAAACCAGGAAATCCCGACTCGCACGGCCAGGGTGCACGGCCGTGCATATCACCATTCTGGCCGTGCAACTCAAAACGCAGCGTGTCATTTAGTCGAACTTCAGCCCTCTCGCACGGCCAGGGTGCACGGCCGTGCGAGCTTCAGGGGTTGCCCGTGCGTGTCCTCGGCATAAGGCGCACGGGCATATTGCTCACGTGCACGGCCGTGCAGCCTCCCTGGTCTGTCCGTGCAGCTCCCCAAAAACCTCGCCATTCGTCCGTTCTTCGTCCAATCGACCCCAGACTCGCTCCTAAGCCTTCATTCACGTACTAGGACCTGAAACATCACAAACAAGCACAACCTAGCGTGAAATCGGTCTAAACCACGAGAAATCACATCTCAAACGGTGTAAGAACAGGGGTAAAAACATGTGTAATTAACGGTCTATCAATTAGGAATGACAATGGGGCAGATTCGGGGTGGGTTTCTTGGTACCCAGACCTGTCCCATGGCAGGTTAGGTTCAGGTCGGGTAATTTATTATGGGTCACAGGTCGGGGCAAGTCGACTCAATGGGTATGCAATTTATATGAAAAAACATTAAAAATATTCGTTATTTTTATTATAAGGCCAAGAAAACAAACAATATTTTGATATATGTAGTTAAATTATTAGAGAAATTGAAGTTTTCAGTAATTTACAACTTTATTATAGCTGAATTATGATGTAATAAAAGAAAATTCCTAAGTAAATTGACTAAGATTACATGTAATTTAGGCAAGAACGGGTCGAGAACGGGGCGGGTAAGGGCAGGTCAAGTCGATGAGAGTACCCATGCCTGCCCCGCCCAAAAACAGACCAAACTAGTCGGATAAAATGGGTCAGGTCGAAAGTGTCACCCCTACATGAGATCTTCTCCCATTTCATATGCACGGAAAATCTACTTGTATTTTAATTCCTAGTGGGATATACATAATAATGAGCACTTCTACTATACTTTAAAGTATTGGTGCTTTAAAGTACGACTTGAAGTTGTACCATATGTTAAAAATACAAATTTAAGTGGTATCATAAGGGAATTTGAAGTTGTACCATAACATAAAGATACAACTTTAGTTTGTACCATAAATGAATTTTACAAAAGGTCTAGAAATTGATATAGTGATAAAATTAGGGTAAAACATTCACCGTTCAAATATTGAGTCCGAAAATTAAAACAATAAAGATATATAAAAAAGAATTAGACAAAGCCCATGAAATGAAAGACTGAAAGACAGATTATAAAATGGTCAAAGTGAAGTCTGAAGCCCAGATAGCATCGGCGGATCTAGGGGCCGCTCCAGGCCACGATCCAGCCCTCCCCGGATACAAAGCTCGTATAGTAATTCTAATTTTTTTTATTTTGGGTATATATTTAAGTGTTTATTGGGTTACGGCCCAATCCTCTCCATCGCTTTTTAAATGCGGCCCAGTGCTCTAACCTGTTTTGGATCCACCGCTGCCAGATAGAATATCCTTATTAATAAGCTGCATAAATATAGATGATTTCGGTGAATAATTTTGTGAAGAATTTTATAGTTGATTTAAGGGGTCGTTTGGAAGTTGTGATTGTTAGAGTTGTGTTTGTTGAATACATGTATTATATGCACAATTAATGTTTGGAACTGCCAAAGTGTAAAACAATGCATGCATTATACAATCTCAACTAAAAGTTGAGATTGTTGTGATTGTTGCTTTTAGATTTGTGTCAACTTTTTCTTTTCATTTATATCCCTAATAGTTTTTGTCTTATACTAAAAGTTGAGGGTAAATATGACATTTTCCCATAAAAATAACTTTATGTAAATCAATGCATAAAGTAGAATCTCAACAACCAAACAATGTATTGTTAAAATGCATCCATTGTATCAATACATGCATTTATATTATGGTGATTCATTACAATGCAACGATTTAATATTCGCAACTTCATAGTGCATGTAAAAGCTGAAATTTTGAAAGAGTGCGCTGCAGAGGTAAGCTGGATGGCAAATATCAAGAGGTGACGACAATTAACAATCCAGTCCGAACCAAATCCATCTGGATCAAAATTCTTGGCCCACTACCAATTTAGGTTGAGAGTAGGGATGGCAACAAAACCCGAATCTACGGGTACCCATCCGACCCAACCCGGTCAACGCGGGTTTTACGCGTTTTGGGCCGGGTTCGGGTTTAAACCCGCTACACTATTCACCGGGTCGGGTTGGGTTTAGGTAAACCCGCCCCATGGGTACCCGCCCACACACATATAATTACTTTCCCGGTATATTTAATATTTTAAATAATACATCTTCCTTAAACAACTAATATTCTTTATGTTTGTGGAGACATGTATAATTTGTTCTTTCTAATTGTTTAGAATGAAGTTGATATATTGAAGTGAAGAATGAAGAAATTTAGTTGACGAGGAAGAAGCTTTCACGTAATCTTATTGTTTATAGATGTTTATCTTTAATTTTGAACAATTTGTATTGATCATTTGCGGTTTGCTTGTATGCTCTAGATTGGTGTTTTTTGTATGATTAATTTGTATGAGAAAATTGATGTTAAACTTTTATTTTGAAAGAAACTTGTTATTGTAAATTTTTTACTAGAAAAACCCACGGGTACCCATGAACCCGCGGATACCCAGGGGGTTGGGTTGAGTTTGAGTTTTTCAAACCCAACGAGTTTTACTCCGGGTTTTTTTGGCGGATAAACCCATGAATTTGGGTTTGGGTTTGACAAAACCCGCCCCAACCCGACCCATTGCCATCCCTAGTTGAGAGCAACAAATAAACTATGGTGGGCTGTTATTTCATTTGGAAAGCCCACAACCAAATAAAAGAAAATGGATCTGGAGGAGGATTAAGGTAGAAGTTAAGTTGCTAACATCTACAAAGGTTAATGGGCCGAGTTGAGTTTTGTCTTTTTTAGTTTTAGTTTGTTAATAAGCGAGTTGAGTTCGAACTCATATCATTTATCATCAAGCTGAGTTGAGTTGGGTTCAAACCATCTCATTTATTAAAATCCTGGCTCATCATTAAGATATGGGGCTCAAACACAATTCTAAGATAGCTTATAAATTAAACACCATAATATTATGTCATATATGATAAATGTGATTAACTGATCCCTTGTCATTTATGAGACATATTTGCTCATATACTCAGAAGTTTTGAACAACATATGAAGTGAGATACTGAGATATACAATTTAATAAACCTATGAATTATTAACAAGACAACTCATAAGATATAGATCGACTCGTTAATAAACGGGTCAAACTTTTCCATAATCGAAAGAGGTTTTCTCGAACAGAACGTCGAGCCGCTCCTGAACAACTTCGTTCATTAGCAGCCCCACTAACATTCAATTTGTGCTAACAATAGCTCCAGCCTCCAGCCAACATAAAGTGCGTCCCTATACAATTTAATTTCCTTGATTCTACCTGTCCCTGTACAATTAAATTTATGAGATTGATGATCTCATAAATTGGTAGTCGAGTTGGCTCGCTGGTCACAATGTTGAGACATCTCATGAGTTCTAAATGAGATAGTCAATGAGTTGAGCTCAATAAGACAACTAAACGAGTTTGCACACGAGTTGAACAAGACTTAGTTCAATCTCGACTCGTTAATAAACAGGTGAAGCTTTTCCATAAGCGAACGAGGTTTTCTTGAATCGAATGTTGAGCCGCTCCTGAACAACTTCGTTCATTAGCAGCACCACTAACATCCCATTTGTACGACACTAGCTCTAGCCAATAGAAATATTTCATTTTGATTGAATTTTTTATTCCTAAGGGGTTGATACAATTAATCCGGATTTATGAAGGAAGGTGCACGCTTGTCAATACTAAAAATTGGAAAGGGGGACAAATGCGTGTGTTGTGCATCAATTGGGAGACTACAAAACACAACAAATTTAACAACACCACTAGTATTTTATAGCATATCAGAAATCTTATAAAGCGTCTCCCTATACAGTTAAATTTACTTCATTTTGCCCGTCCTTATTATCCCTATTCCATCCTAATTTTACACCATCTTAATTAGAGCCAATGTTTGGCCACTCCTTTACCAATCATCTCTATCAAACATGCATTAAAAATAGTCGAATTAAATAGGAAGGGCATCTAAGAACTTGCAAGAACAATCGGTCAAGACATAGCAAATGAGATTGAATATCTTACCTGGTGGCCCCCATGTTATAGGTTTAACTTACCTTATTGTAATTAGCCGTATATAAATATGGGGTTTTCCTAGCCCTCCCTTCCCGAAAGGAAGAACGTGAAATTTTTTCCGCTTTCCGCAGGGACCAGGAGATTGGATCTAGCCGTAAGAAGAATGTTTGGCCGGCCCAGCCTACGAATCTATTCGAATTATCAAAAAATTCCTCGAATTTTAGGGGGGATGGGAATTGTAATTATTTCTACTTCTCGGGGTATAATGACAGACCGAGAGGCTAATTGTTGACGTGGATTAGGGTTAGTATGGGCGGCCGAGATATATACTTTGGTGAAGGGCTGTAGCTTTTGTAACTTCAGTTGCTGAACGTGAATAAGAGTTCTGAGTGTTCTCTCGTGGAATAGTCTCAACAATCATCATCATTGAGGAAACCACGTTAATCTTGGTGTGTTGCAATCCTCGTTTAAGGTTTATTGACACTCCTTACACAAGACTTGATACTAGCAAAAAAAGTTGCAATTGGTCATAGGGTGTCTGGGGTTAGTGTTCAATCTTAAGTTTTTCTTGTGCCTGTAAGTACCACAAACTTAGATAATCCACATCAATGACATTTTTTCAATTGAAAATCCTATATGGCACACTCAATATGTAAATAAATAAAATAATTTTTTTCTCTTTTAATTTATTTGATGTAAATGCAACTAAATAAAATCGAGTTAGATTGCACAAAATTTGAGATGGCAATAAAAATATTGTCGATTTGCAATTGCTGGATGCGGTTAGACATAAGCCATATCTCAACCTCTTATTTACACACATCAAAGAAAATTAGAGGTCGATCTCTCATTGGTTTCTAATGAACCATGCATCAACCAACGACGTTCAACACCATACTTAAACATACATCATGGGTTTTTTTTTTAACACATGCAACAGTACTACTAGTACAGCAACCGTGGGTACTTCAAGCACATTGGATCACATGCAATTAATTGATTCCATGGAAGGGATTATTGTACATCAACTATGAACTCAAGTAACCAAAAACCTTCACACGAGCCCTGGACTACTACATAAATCTGAACGAACTGGCACCGGTTTTCATACGATCCCTTGCACCACCTCATTGTGCAAGCCGTAATGTAGCCAGAGCATGTAATCGTTGTGCAACCCGAAATACTGATCATCGTCTATAGTAGTAGTACTGTAAATCTCCCGCTGTGTATAGTCATCAGCAGCATCAACCAGCTGGCATGGCTGCGACCAGAAATCGCCACCAAAATCACACTGGTGAAAGTCATTCATCATCAAAACCGAACTGCCACTGTTCGCATTCGGGCTGTCAGTACCAGCTGTTGGTGAAAGAGAGGAGCTGCTCTCGGCGGACATCTGAGGCAGGGACAAGCAGTACTGATGATCATTGATCTGTGGCGTCGAGACAACCTCAACGTCGGTAATTTCATGCCTACTTATATTATCATGATAACTCTCATGGCCAATTGATGTACTAATAATCTCTGATAATTGCTGTTGATGAGAAACGGCGTCGACGTTGCTGCTGCTGCTGCAAACAATTGGCTGTGCAGCGTCTGTAGTGGTGGCGGGTTTAGGTTGAGATTTCTTGGTCACGTGAGTGTTCCAGTAGTTCTTGATCTCGTTGTCGGTCCGCCCTGGCAAATGGGTTGCAATTATCGACCATCTGCAGCGATTCAAGACCACATATGAGTTATTAGTTTGTCTGTATGCGGTAAAAGACTAGTAAATTTCAGGAGTATAGTACATTTTAGGTAATTTTGTTGTTAGATGTGTACTTCGATAAATTCCGACGACCAATCAGAACCATCAATTGTTGTTTTCTATTAAATCGAAAATTTTGAGTTTGGGTTTAGAGAATTAGGATATGGAGTTTATCCTTTAGAGGTTAAGTATAGTATCGTAGCTCAAATTCACTTGAATTCATGATTTATATATATATATGGTTTAGGCTAGCGTACACCCAAACGTACATTAGGCTACCGTACGCCCGTTTGAGTTTTGCTATTTAGATCATGAATTAATAAGAGTTTTGGGCATGATACTATACCCTAACCACTAATGGATAAACCCCAGTCCCTAGTTTTCTAACCCAAATCATGAGATTCGTTTTATGTATATGTATATGTATATGTCACTAAGAGTGTGAAGTATAGTATACTGCAAGAATACACTGTCTGACGGAAGCTAATAATTCCGGACAATATAGACTCACTTGTTCCCCAGTGAATCATGCAGAGCAACGATGGCAGCTTCCTCTTCCTTAGTGAAGTTCCCTCTCTTAATATCTGGCCTCAGATAGTTCAGCCACCGCAACCGGCAACTCTTCCCGCATCTTGCCAAACCTACAAGAAGAAGAAGAAGAACAAATCAGTTACCACAATATCGACCCTGCAAGATTCCCCTATAAAAGATCAAATACATAAGTAATTGCGTGTACCAGCGTATTTGGGCAATCGGCGCCAGTTCCGGCAGCCGTGGGCGGCGACGTAGGCAGCAAGCCGCATGTCTTCTTCTGCAGTCCAAGTGCCCTTCTTCAGACCATTCTTGTCAGTGTAAGGAGTTCTCGCCATTAATTCTTTTCTTCCTTGCTAATTTCTCTCTGCAGCTGACAACGGTTCTATGATATGATTGAGAGGTCAAATGAGCAGGAAGACCTGAGCTAGCGGCATTTTTATAGCTACACGATTGACTTGACGATGACAGCCTAGCTAAAGGAGTCTTCTTAAAATATTAATAATCTGGCCGGGGTTGGGGTGGGTGCAAATTGGCGGGGTATTCGAAGAAAGTTCAATGAATATTCTACGTAGGATAGTGAGAAAGAGAGACTGGGTGAATCTGGAAGAAATCATAGTAGTCTAATCTAAACACAAGACTGTACATATTTCGGCGCACCCATTTATATGAAACTGATGAATGGATTCCTGGAAGTGGGGAAGGGCTTTCCTGTCTTCGATCGGTCATCATCATTCAAATCTAATCTAAGCTAGATCTTTTTGTATACCAACGTCGTACTTTGGATGTTAGTTATTGTTGTGACTAGTTTAGTGTATTTTAATTAACTAAAGTATATGACGATATGATGTTTCATGCTTCTTTCTAGGTTCCTAAAAGTACTACAATTCAATACCTAGTTGGATGATTCTCATTCTCATATTTGTTTGCCAGATGGGTTCAATAGTTGCATAGAAACCGGCAAGTAAAAATCTCTTAGCTTTGATTCGGACACAATTAGATTTTGACTCGGCAGTCGGCATATTGTTAAATTTTGATTCAAAGACTTTGATTTAAATGATTAAAGAGAAGTTTCATCTTAACAAACCGACGACAGTTTAAATTGTGGCAAGCAGTACTGAAATTTATGTTTTGTTGTTATTATACCACTTAAGTTTTTAGTCCCTTATCATTTTAGTCCAAAATCGTCACTTGAAACTAAGAAGTGTTTTTAAATGTATTAGAAATGCTACCGCATTGTCCAGTCCGGTCGAATATACCGGATACTGGACCTTAAACAATATGCTGTTTTAGCTGTACGGAAAGGTTGAATTACAATTTTAGCATATAAAATTCTATCACTAACTGTTTCAATATAACTTTCGGTACGGTTTTACAATCATTGGTGCTTTAAGCATTATAAGTTTAATATTATTAATTTGCCTACATAGTGAGGTAAATGTACGTATATCTCTGTAAATTATGTTTCGCCACCTTCATTTTAAGAATAATTTGATATTTTAACCATTCATGACACAGATAAAAACATATCAAATTAAAAAAAATGATTATAAACAACAATTTTATATAATATTCCCATTTGGTCCCCATGTTGACCAAAGCTCTATCCAGAAGACCAATGAGTGGGTATGGTTTGTTTTTTTCCTTTTGGTTTTATCACAAAAAAGGTTGCAAAATTTAGAGATTTAAGTGCCAACCAAAAGAGAAGAAAAGAGGGGAGAGAATTATATATACGAGCAAGTTTTTTTTTTTTTTCCCTTACAAAGTATACGAGCAAGTTGATGGTACTTTCTGTTTTGTCGTTTCCGTCATTGTGAAAGCCCAAGTCAGCATGCTGAAATAAATGTTCAGCAGCAACGCAAGCATATGATGTCAGGTAAGTGACATTGGCCGAATCATATGTAGATGTTATGTTTAGGGTTTGGGTGGAAATCGATATGGTATCGGTGTCTCAGTATCAAATATCAAAATTCCGAACATTGAATTACAACTTAAAAGCCTATCAATCTCAATCTCTAAATAATTTTGGCATCCCAGTCTCGATCCCTAAATATTTTGGTATCCTAACCGGTATTATCGAATACGAAATTAATTATATTTCTAATTAATAATTTAATATGTAAATCATATTTGATTGTTTAATTTAGAGCAAATAGACTAAGAAAAGTTTTTGTCTAAAGCTATGATATGGATAAAGAGAATGGTGCAGAGGTGGCATCTCAAATTCTTGTCATTGGTAATCTTTAATTTGATGAATTGAAGGCTGATAGACGACTAATACTAGTGTTTGCTTTTAGGTGTTATGAAAATAACAAGAGATTAGGTGAGAGACGAGAGTGACTTAAATTGGAAAGTCAAAATTGAGTTGGATGGAGGCTTCTAAATTGAGAAAGAGTGAGGCATGATCAAAGAGTGTGTGCTATATTTCATTAATTTTTTAATTTTCAGTAATTTTCTATATTTCGGTATATACCGATCCTAATACCGTATCTCGAATACCAAATAGCACTTCAAAATGGATCCCAATCCCTAAAAAACAAGGCTGATAGTGATAAATTCGATACGGTATTCGGTATATCTCAAATACCGGTACCAAACTCCCAGTCCTATTTAGGATAATGAAATGGATTATTGAACCGTTGGTTATGATCGACTAGAGTTAAAAATCGAAATTGATGTTGTGGATCGTGTTTACGCAAATCTCGTATTTATTTTTATTCGATTAGAAAGATAGTGAATTTTAATTACCATCACTTTCACATGATAACTAGTCATTTTTTTATACTATTGAGTTGTCTTCATATCTCCTAACACATCACACTAGTCTTTGAAGGCAAACAGTTCAGGATCCCTGCCTTGATGCGGCAAGTCCACCAACAAGTCCAGGAATGGCTTAGTTTACCTCGGGACCAGAATGAGCAGCTTGCGCGCCTCCCGGCCCCTACCTTAACCTTGGATGGAGCTACCACGGCTATTTGTATGTGGGATGGGGCTGTGCGGTTGGGATCTCATGCGACAGGGGGGATGGTTATCCTCAATTCCGATAGAGAGGTCATCCTTGCGAAGGGGGTTCAGTTCCCATTCCTTGATAATCCAATGATGGTGGAAGCTCTGGTCCTCCGGGAGGCGATTGGTTGGTGTTTGGCAAATGGATTCACTGTCATGAGGTTTGAAGGTGATGCCCAGGTGATAATTGAGAAGATTCTCCGAAAAGATGTTCGGGATAATCATATAGGGGCAATTCTGGTGGAGATAGTCAATTTATTTGCTTCAAATGTAGGTTTCACTGTTCGATTTGTAGGTCGGCGAAATAATAGGGTAACTCATTTGGTAGCTAGACAGGCCCTGTCCTTGTTCCCGACTACTTGTCGGTCGTTTGATTTCTGGGCCTGGCTGTATTCCAGGATGTAACGATCTATTGGTTTTAATCTAATTATTATCTTTTGTAAAAAAAAAAAACACTAGTCATCGACTTCTGCAATGAGAAAATAAAAAATATATATTTAAAACTACTAGTAGTAATAGCTTCCAAAAATCCATTTGAAATTAAAATCCAATTACAATAATCGATCATATCAAAGGCCTTAAGTTTTTTCCCCAGCTTTGGGTAGTAAAAAAATCGATACATATGCGTGAAATCATATGCATGAAGATCCTTAGTCGAAAGGATGGGTAGTTTATTTAGCTGAAGGATGGTGAATTTTATTCTTCCAAAGATAGCAAATACAATAGTAGGTCAAGGAAAAAACTGGGCAAGAAGATCTAAGATTGTGATCGAGTCCTCAGGTAAGGAGTTATGAACCAAGGATCTAGCCACCCAATCTGCATGAGCAATCTGTTTACGTTGTAAGAAATATTCTCTTGAATTCACTCTTGAATTCCATGAAAATATGTCTCTCCCTCAACGAAACTTGTTGAATCTGAATGGATATGAAAAGAAATAGATTTTATTTAAATTGAAACAGAGTTATAATTGATCAATTCAAACCCTAGCCAAGCCAAGAGACTTGGCACTTTTGCAAAAACAGACGAAAACCACTCAATTCCAACTTCCTAAGACAAGATCACCCAGTTCTCAACTCCTGTGACCTATCTACTGAAGATGAAACCCGAAATGGCCCATGATAGACAAGACAGAATCCCGATTTCTCTTACTATCAACCGCTACCTTCAAATGAAGAACTCACTCGATATATATAGGCAGAGAAGGAAATAGCCGTTTCCTACAAGACGCTCCATGTAGCGATTATAATTGCTTGCTGAGTAGAGGCGGTGGAGCTCTGGAGGAGAGGTTCTTCGATCTATTGAGAGAAGAACCGAAAGCTGCAGATTGACAGACTCGAGATGAAGACGACAACTGCGACGGACGAAATGTCATCCGAACCCAAAACGCTACCGTTCCTTTGGTCATGGAGACGACACCGTTTTAAGTGGCTGAAGAGATGTCATTTTATCCAACAATTTCCCCCTTCGTCCGAGAAGTTAGAGAACCTGCAAAACATTAGCAGACAACACACCAGCAGACCAAGGATCCAAATTAAAAACACAAATGCATTCATTGAAAGCGGTTACAGGAGGAGCATAATACTAAGGGGGATTGAGATAACAAAATATGGAAACATCGAGAATGTTCCCCCTAATTTGCTGGAACTGGACATCAGTTTTTAACTACTTAGAGACTAAGAGACTCATTCCCCCTGAACAAAAGGCTCCTTAAAAAAACAAAAAACAGTACAGCGAGCACTACAACCTAAGGATAGGAGAAATAGAAGGATTAGGCAGGAGGGGCAGAGGCTGCAGAATCATCAGAGGAGGTATTGCCTTCGGAGATAGTAAACACAAGATCTCCAGACTTGTTGGATTCACCAACAGATTTAGCCTTTCTACCGGAGGAGACCCTCTTAGCAGGATGAGATTTTGGAGGGGGGCCTAGAAGAGATGCAGAAGGAGGAGGAGGAGGAGGAGGTATGCCAGTAGGCAGATCAAGCACCATTAGCACGTTTAGTGCACTGACATACATTGTGGAAGAGATGCTTCGAAACTCTTATAAGTCAACTCCTAGGTTGATCAACAGACGAGTGATGATGGAACCGAAAGGTAGAAGACCTTTGTAATTTTCGTCCCCCACAGGAAGAAACTGACCAAACATGATGCTTGCAAAATCGAGCTTCCTTCTTGCTGTGGCACTAGCAATAATCCAGAGGTCCATAGGGAGAACACACTCCTGGTTGAAGGATTGAGGGAGGAAAACGTGAGTGAGGAAGTAATGGAAAATCCTCAGCCTTGGAGGTAACCAGGAACTAGGGATTGGGACATCAGAGCCACCAGTTGACTCTGTGGAGAAGTTGTTGTACTCCACCTCAATCTTGAACTCATGCTTCCAAAACTCAGATGGGTGAGCTAGGCCAAGC